GGAATTTGTGAACTAGCGCGCAACCCAACCTAAAATACGAAAAACAATGAGAAAAAAAAAATTTAAAAATTAAATTAAGCAAGGAATAAAAAAACATACATGTTTCAGCAGCCCAAGTGCCAGTAAAGGTAACAATTTCAGATTGTCACAAATTTGTAATTGGGGTGAAGCTCCTTGAGACCCAGTAATGGATGATTTGTATACTCCCAAAATATCAATCATCTTATTTGTTAACGCATCTCGTGCATCTTCCAATTTAGAGGATAATGACCTTTCCACCGCTTATTAGAAGTAAAAAAATAGTCTGCAAATTACACAAATTACATATGAATCTTTATTTAACAAATGTACTCTAAATTTACCTTTATTTGCCAATAGTGTCGATATAGCTATTTGATCAGCTGAAGAATAAAGTTCAGTTATATTATTTGTTACTGGCAACGACAGTGTCAATACACGAATCCTTCTTTCACCTATATAAATTTTTAGGAAAAAGAGATACAGATGAAGTTTGAAAAAAAATTTTTGCTTAATAATAAATATAAAAGAGAAAGTGTAAACTGTGACTATACCAAAACAAGTTGTATGCAAAAGGGCAGTTTGGAAACAGACAGTTGGTGTCGTTATGTTTTCTTCTATACTAACTTCGATGGCATAAGAGTGATCCCTTGAAACATTCGGCAAAGCGAGCAAATCCGTTTGACGAACAAAGAAATTGCCGTAAAATGAAGTCATACGTAAACCTAATTGACATTTGAACTGATCGTATGCATAATTAAAAAAAATAAATTGAATTTCCACAAGTAATCTTTATTAAGGAATATTTTACCTTTTGAAGCTCTAACACGCATTACTGCTTCCAATGCAATTGGACTGGCCAAAAATTCTGCAAACTCATGGGCAAACTTAAGGGCATCTTCTGACCTACCTGCATTAAATGCAGGATAAAAATATGTTTGTCCACCAGTATAACGCGGACAACAACCTTTGTATTTCATAAAAAAAAAAAAAATAGATAAATATAAATGAATAAATAAATAAATAAAAATTATAAATAACTTTTTATATAAGCGTACTTAATGTCGCTACGTCAGAATACTGTGATCCAAGTAAGAACATATCGACAGAAACTTGAGATCGAGAACAATCAACAGCAAATTTTTTATAAAAAGGCTCTGCAGATTGTAAGAGAGCAGATTCCTGTGCAAATAGTTTAATGATAAATTTAATGCCCAAACACGCTTTCGATACCATAAGGTAATGTATAAAATACTTTTGGAGTCCCCAATGCTTTTGAATCTTCTCGAGCTTTCAGTTGCCCAGGACCAATATTTGGTAGACTAGATTGTAATACTATAATCTTACCACCTATCGAAGACTATTGCAAATAACCAATGAAAATATAAATAAACTTATAAAAACCAAGATAAAAAATAAAACTAAGATTATTAAATATATTACAATTAATTTGAAGCCAGCCAGCATGGCGGACCCTAGAGCGTTGCCAACAGTGTGTGTATCTTTGAACATATCACCAAGACGACTAAGCAACGATTCAACCACTGGACGAGCTTCAGTTAAATTTACTAATAAATCATCGGGCTGTGGCAGAAATACGTCTTCAAGATCAGAAACAACCAACATTTGAGGTTCAGATGAGTTAGACTAAAAAAATTTAGCATATGTTTTAATAATGAATATTCTTCAGAAAAACTTGACTGTTTTAGAAAAAAATAAAATAAAACAGGTACATTAAGACTGTAAAAGTGTAAAGATGTATCCACAGTAATGAACCCGATCTTTGTACGATTTTCTTCATTAGGTATTCGATCTAGTGATTCCAAAATAGTCCTTGCAGCAGTTGCAACAGCACCTTTAATAATATAATAGTAATTAGATATTTTGAATAGCGTAAAACATGTATAATTTAAATATAAAACTAGAATAATAAGACTATTAAGAAATATACGTAAACATTTGATGTTTTTGTAAATATATAATTCCGTCTTTATTTATTTAATGAACAGAATATAAGAAATCTATTTCTTAAATATAAATACCACGTACCGGATTGTATGGCAGGAAATGAAACATCAATCACAAATAAATAAACTGGTGGTTGAGGTGGTCGAACCTTTATATAATAAAACAGAATTAATATGAAATATATATACATATATATATATTATGATAAGTTCGTATACAAATTATTTAATTACCATATACTCTGTAGGTGCTACAAATTCAACAACAGCGTGGTTCAGTTCCGCTCGTTTCCATCGATTTGCCTGTTGACTAGTTTGTAAATCCCAATCAAATTGTGATGGTACTATGATGGATATTAATGTTAAGTTATGCATAAAGTGATGAAAAATTCAACTTTTATGATATTACCTTCATTTAGCAAGAAGCATAAATTACATCTCCACTTTTGTCCACCTTCAGCGAAAGTAACAAAAGGATTAATATAGGTTCTGCACCTTCGGCATCTTGCAATAACGGTATCTGTAATCACAGGGATTGGATCCTATAAATATGACAAAAAATTAATATAATGAATTGAATATACTCAACAGATGAATAATAAATGGTACAATACTCACATCACCCTCTTTCAAGCTTCTATAAGGGGTAATGATAAGACCAAATGGTAATCGGGACTTGCTGAGAAGACTTGCAGTAGCGGGAACACAGTTGACCGTACATCGTTTATAAGATGGTTCGCAATTTGCTTTGTCCGATTGAGTGACAGATGACTTAAATCAGAAAAAGGCGGTGAACATTGATGAAATTCAATACTAAACTATTTTTTTTATTCAGATACACGAATGAATAATAATTAATTTTATTATACTTACATTAGGTGGTAGGTTAATAGGTGGTGGTGGTGCATCCAAGTCTACGACATTTGGCAGAGTACCGATCAAGTTAACGGTAATTAATTGAACCTTTTATTCAAAATATGATCGATTTTTTAAATTAATCCTATCAGATCGAAATTTACGCGAAAATAGTTTTATGCACCTGTGAATGACCTCCGAGATTCATATTATTTAATTGATTCGTCAAACCACCCATTGAAGCATTCATTGAAGGATGTTGAGTATATTGTTGAGTATATTGTTGAGGATATTGTTGAGAATATTGTTGAGGATATTGTTGAGAATATTGAGCGGGCGTCATCGAAGGTGCTGCTGTCTGATAATTCTGATCACCAGCTGGAGTAAAGAATTGAGGCTGTTGGTACGCATTCTGATCAATGGCTGGTGGCTGTATCTGTTGTCCAATGCCACCAGGTGTTACTGCAGGAGCAAAAGTTTGATATTGACTGCCGTACGCGTTAGAATCAGTATATGCCTCAGTGATTTCCTTTGGATATAAACGTTTTGGTTTATGACTTGTCGAAGGCGGAGTTTGAGAACGTTGACTTGGAGATTCAGGATTTTCAACAGGCGGAGGAGATGTAGAATTTGCTGACATTACTTGATAGTTAGGACCCATAGCAGTTTGATTTGGATATGATAAAGGACGTCCTGAAGGGTTTTGTTGTAAATTTCCAGGTCTGAAGCCTGGAGGAACGGTTGGTCTTATTCCTGATTGAGGAGAAGTGACAGGCTGCCCAGCTGGAGGTACACCGGTATATGGAATATTAGCATGAGGAGGGCGATAACCTGCAGGTAAAGGTGGCGATGGACTCACACCGGGCATTGGAGGCCGCGTTTGGGGATTAATACCACCAGGAGGTCCATAAGGAGCGATGGGTCTTTGATTTAGGGGAGCACCACCAGGGCCAAGAGGATTTTGATATGGCGAAGGCCCTCTTTGTATTTGCTGGTTGGGATCTGTAGCTTGCATCGGTCGAGAATTTGGAGATGAAGGAGGGGGACGGGATAGAGGAGACTGGCTAGGTGGAATGTTGGACATTTTTTTTTTTTTTTTTACGTGTGTAAAATTGAAGTATCGAATTTACATTAAGTCAAATGTACTCGAAAACGCAGGTCATAGCCGACAAATTATTCGATTTCCGGTAGCTCTAAGGGAAGTGCAGCCTATCAAATTAGCCCAAGTGGCACATAATACTCTTCCCACGGACAATATTCCATCCAGTCTTACTATTTATAGATAACGTTCGTTACGTGCGTACGTACATACTTACGTATTAGATCTCAAAAATTTTCTTGAATACACTTTTTTGGATTTTTTTGAATTTTTTTTTTTTTTTAAATAATAATAAATCTATACTTACCTACCAAAAGTATCAAGTATCAAGCAACCTGCATACGTAAAACAAAATTAAATTTTTATGCTATTTTAAATATATCAATATTGTATACATGTTTGACAAAGTGTTAACATTTTAGTTAACTATATACGTATAAATATATGAAAATTATATACATATCAGATAATTACGTACGTACGTACGTACGAGTTTCTAAAGCACACCAGTGATGTTTAATACTACAATTGTCATGTACATTTCAAAAACTAGCTATGTAATGTATAAAATTGATATTTGGTGCCTTAGGTAAAAAATGGTTAGTATCTTTAAAAACTCCAATTTTGATTCGAATCTTCTAACTTGTAATCTTAATTCTAAAATTTAATACGAAGTAAAATGTATCTGATAAGTTAATTCTAAGCACTTTAATTAATAATTTAAAGCAGATTATTATAATAAAACTTTGCAATTGCAGTATTTAGTGTCAAAATTTCGTCTGAATATTGTCCAAAGTTGTCTAAATACTGTAACAGTATTAAACAATCGATACATATATAATGTTTATAAACATTAGTTAAATAACTGATCTTAATTCTAACAATCATACTATTAAGCAGTGCGCAGAGATACGTATTAATTTTTTGCAAAATGCAAAAAAATCACAAATTGGGACGTACGTAGCAGGTATTTTTTGCAAAATCTACTAATTTTATCAGATCCAATTAAAATTACCTGATTTTGTCGGAGATTTTCGGAATAGACAATTCTTTAACTATCATTTTA